GAGAGCCAATAAATGAGAAAATTCGACTCACTCTCACCTTAAGGCAAGAGTGAGTCAAATTTTTTATTTTATTGGCTCTCGTATTAATCCTATATGAATTGTCGTTTTTCTGCCAACTCTTATAACTTAACTTCTAAAGTACCTGNATTTTTTATTTTATTGGCTCTCGTATTAATCCTATATGAATTGTCGTTTTTCTGCCAACTCTTATAACTTAACTTCTAAAGTACCTGAAATTTAGGTTGAAGTCTCAAATTAAAGTTTAAGAGTTGGTCTACAAAATAATGGGGGCTTTTAATTTTAACTGCTTTAGTTTAGTTTTTATGAACTTCTGAATTTGTCAAAACACAACATTTTGCAAATTTTCTGATTTCAATATTCATATAGGAATAATACGAGAGCCAATAAAATGGAAAATTTGACTCATTCTCGCCTTAATAAATCACTGTGTAGCGCCATTCACAAAATCACATAACTATAATAATTACTTGTTAGTCAAATTGGCTCGGTTTTAGCATCAATTGTTTTATAAATTAGTAAGAACTTTGTAAGTAAAGCACTTGTAGTATCTCTCAGTTTTATGATTAACAAGAAACTCAGCCACTTGTAGACATGCAAAAGGGAAGTATAGTTGCAATTTCCAAGAATTTAGTATTGTCCCACCAGCCACCCTTGACTCATTGTTCTTCTATGCTGTCACACCTACGTTCTGGCTCAAACTCAATTACTGGTTAAGTAAACGTCGATAAGATAACCAGAATTAGCAGGAAACAGGCGTTCAGAAGGCTTTGTAATAGGACGTGAGGTGCAGCTGAATGCAGCAAATACATGACATGTGCTAATACTCTCACTTTGTGCTGCGCGGGAAAGCGTGTATGTGGTGTCACGTTGGAGCAAAGCAAAAGTTTCAACGAACCATTATTTCGCAATGCATTCAGAAGAGACGAGAAAAACGGTTAAGTGTACAGTGCAGTACTACCATTTACTTGAAAAGTGAAGGTAACGCCTGAAAGTTAACTCAGAAGCATTCAACTTATTTCACTCAAACCATTCAGCAGCAATGAACGGCGTTGATTTTAGTCATTTTTTTAATAATGTAAAGTTTAGCGATGTCAAGTTCAAAGTGGGTGATCGCGAGTTTAAAGGTCATCGAATCGTGCTTTCTACAGCATCATCTAAATTCGCCACCATGTTTGATCGCCATCCAGAAGCCAACCATATGTTCACTATCACTGACATAAATGATGATATTTTTGAGTTATTGCTCAAATGCATTTACAAAAATAACAATATTGATTTGTTTGTAATCTCAGAAAGTGTTGAACAGTTGTTGGAAGCCTCAGATAAATACAGAATTCATGAGTTAAAATACAGATGTGAAGAGTTTCTCAGTCATCAACTGACCCAAACCAACGTGACCGATTTCATGACACTAGCTGACCACTGCAATGCACAAAAACTCAAACTTAAAGCTTTTGAATTTATTAAAAAGTAAGTTTGTTTATATGATAAAATTATGATCAAAACAAATAACTTTTTTTTAAAGTTCTTCCTAAAACAGAAAAACTTTTGCTTTTGTTAAAACCAAGTTTTAATTTTGTTTAATTAATTTATCTACAAAGTTATTGATAAAATTATTTTTATATACATTTTGTGAAGTTTTCTGTTTTGTAAAATATTTTGTTTGTTTTTAAAGTTTTCATTTTCACTTTACATACTTCAAACAACTTTTTTTGCAAATAATTTGTCAATTTATTTGTTTTGAAAATGTTGTGCGTCATACCCTAGATAAGATTACGTGATGATTAATACTAGCTGGTCAATTAAAAAGTTTTTTGAATATTTGTTTATAAAGCATATAATGGCAAATAATATCACCAAACAGTTTTAGTAGAGAAAATTATTTTAAAAAAATTAAAAATCGTGCCGTCAAAGAAAAACAAACGCGTTTAATTTTTATCAACACGTCCCACAGGTTTCTATTTTTGATTCGTTTTAATATTCATTTTATCACCATAGTTAAAAATTAACAAATAGATGTACACTTGCAGTTTACCTTCTTGTTAACTTTTGTTAGCTTTATCGTAATTTTTTCTTAACAAGGTGAATGTGGTGTTTATATCAACAACCAAACACAACTTAGTGAAATGAAGCTATCATTCTACTTTCTTGTAATTTTGGCCTGTTCCCTACAACAGTGCTATGCCCATAAAGGTTTTATTTAATTGTTAACAAAACTTGCAAAAAACTAACTTTTTTTGTTATCAGAGTTTGAAGTAGTTAAGCTGTTTGAAAAAATAGCAGAAGAAGACGAAGAGAAAAGAACTTATGGTTATCATAGTGACTGGAGCAACACTGGCATTAGTTGTATTAGTGAATTTTGCACCACAGTAGAAGGGTTGATTGGTCAACCAAGTGAGCCTATCTACTGTTCACCTGAAAAAATAATAACTATGAAAACACCTCCGACGGAAAATGAATATTTTGACAATGGTTTTAATTTCAAAAAATCCGACAATAAAGTTTGTTTGTGCAATACCTCATGTTTCGCAAGTATGTAAAAACAAATTTTAAAATGAAAACTTTTTTAATTTTAAAAAAATACATTTAGATCTTGTCGAAGTAAAGGAAACCAACCACGCAAATGCAGTAGAAAAAACTGAAATAAGTTCTCTGGTGCCCATCAACATCATTTCTAAAAGCATTATTTATCAGCCAAATGAGTATTACGAAGTGAAAATAATATCTCAGCCAGAAATAGTACAGTACCTTGTCATTATTCGCATTAATATGCCTTGCAAATATGCGTTCATACGAATTAAAGATTTTGATGATCACGACGGTGAGATTCTCCTTGGTGATATCTGTGGAACAAAATTTTTGTGGCGTAAGTTTCACAGTTTTGATCCAAAGCAAACCAATAACAAAAAGTGTTTTAAACAGTTTATTTAGACGTTGATCCTACTAAAAACCTCAAAGTACAAATCAGAGTTAAGCAGTTGCAATTTTTGCATTTTTACATTACTGTGATACCATTAAAATCATCCTCTAACTGCAAAGGTATGTTTAAATGTTAATTGTTAATTTAAAATAGATTTTAATCAGAATTTATACAGCTCCACAACAATGCACTCAACTTTTAAATGGATATGAGGGAATATTTATGTCACCAAACTTTGGCAGTGACAACAAAGATCTTGGAGATCCTCACACAAGTGTAAATAAAGAATGGCGTTACCGAAGCTGCTTTAAAAACGCTTGCATTTTGAGATTTTTACAACTGTATCCTTGGAACTTTCAAATGAAACCTGCTAACCAAGATGGAGCATTAATTAATGGGTGCAGCGGAAGTCATCTGAAATTTGAAGATAAAAAATGGCTAGAAGCAAAATATTCTGGTTCATGGCTTTTTACTACAGGTGAATACTGCTACAATGGAAATACTCTTGGCAAAAATGGGACAGATAACGTGAATATATTAACAAGAAAATATAGTACAACTGTAGATTTAGTTATGGTAAAAACAACTATACGAGAGTTGGAAAGCGGCTATAAATTGTTGTTTAATAAGCATAATTGTGAAATTGACGCAACAACTCAAGTGATTCCTTATGAAACGTCAAAACCAGCAGAAAGTTTGGTTATTGAATCACACAATCAAACTACTACAACAACTACAGAGACATTGCAGTCAGAAAATATTAATCCAGACATCAATGAAGGGGCAACAAATGAGTTAATTCCTGAAAACCAGCACGAAACCATTATTGATTCTCCTGTCGATCAAATGGCAGAAAGTTCTCCTGAACTGGTGACCGATTCTTTGATTGAAATGAGTCCTGAAAATTCACCTGCGCCTATTGCCGAAAATCATTTAGAAACTATTACTGATTCTCCTGTAGATCAAATGGCAGAAAATTCTCCTGGACTAGTCACAGATTCTTTGGCTGAAATGAGTCCTGAAAGTTCATCTGCGCCAATTGCGGATAGCCATCTAGAAACTATTACTGAATCTCCAACCGATCAAGTGCAGGAAAGCTCTCCCGAGCAAGTCACTGATTCCTCTGTTGAACCAAACCCAGAAAGTCAACCGGAAATTGTAATTGAGGAAAATTCTGAAACAAAACCAGAAACTATTACCAATTCTCCTGTCGATCAAATGGCAGAAAATTCTCCTGAACTGGTGACTAATTCTTTGATTGAAGTGAGTCCTGAAAATTCACCTTTGCCTATTGCCGAAAGTCAACCAGAAACTATCACTGATTCTCCTGCCAATCAAATGGCAGAAAGTTTTCCTGAACTAGTCACTGATTCTTTAGTTGAGCCGATCCCAGAAAGTTCACCTGCGCCTATTGTTGAAAGCAATCATGAAACTATTATTGATCCTCTTGTCGATCAAATGGCAGAAAGCTCTCCTGAACTAGTCACAGATTCTTTGGCTGAAATGAGTCCTGAAAGTTCATCTGCGCCAATTGCGGATAGCCATCTAGAAACTATTACTGAATCTCCAACCGATCAAGTGCAGGAAAGCTCTCCCGAGCAAGTCACTGATTCCTCTGTTGAACCAAACCCAGAAAGTCAACCGGAAATTGTAATTGAGGAAAATTCTGAAACAAAACCAGAAACTATTACTAATTCTCCTGAACTGGTGACCGATTCTTTGATTGAAGTGAGTCCGGAAAATTCACCTGCGCCTATTGCCGAAAGTCATTTAGAAACTATTACTGATTCTCCTGTTGATCAAATGGCAGAAAGTTCTTTTGAGCTAGTCACTGACTCTTTGGTTGAACCAAACCCAGAAAGTAAACCGGAATTTGTGATTAATGAAAATTCAGAAACACAACCAGAGATCGTTACTAATGCGCCCAATAACCCTAATTCCGAAAATCAATTACACGAACAACCAGCAATTTTATCTCCTTCAACCCAAAATGAACTGGCAGAAATTGAACAGCAGTCAGCTGCGTTAAACACTTCACAATGTCAAACATGTGATATGGAATCTTGCAAAAGTGAGTGTTTAAAATCTGGAAATTTGTTTGGCGAGTGCTCTCATGGCGAATGCATTTGTGCTGAATACTGTCCTCAATATGCCGACTATTGCCAAGAAGTTTTCTATCAAAAATGCCCTTTTTTTCTTCCTTATTGTATAAAAGGCATAAAGTCAACGCTAAAATGTTACAAATGTGAAAATTGCTGTGAAATTTGTCAAAACCAAGGAAAAACTCCAACTTGTAGCATAACAAATACTTCAAGCAAATATACGTGTAATTGTATATAAAAAAATATTTAAAACATTAATTATTGAACAATTTGTTTTGAGCAATTTTAAATTTGTTTTATTGTGAAAAATTAGTTAATGCAAAGTAAAGAATGATTTGATGTGCTTTTAGAGGCAGTAAGTTCAAACTTAACAATTAATTTGCCTCGTTTTTTGCTATTATCGGGGAATGGCAAGCCACGATTTAAAATTTTATAACTAGAACTTAAAGACGAAGGTACTTTTCTTATCAATATCATTCCCTCTAAATTGGGGATTTCTATTTTGTTTTGCTTTTTAATTTGTTCTTTTGTTACTTGAGCAGTATAAATAATGTCGGTTCCTTTTCGAATAAACATCAAATCTTGTTTGTCAACGGTTGTGTACACTATATCTGCTGGAATTCGATTTGGATATTTGTTTCCTTTGCTTGAAATGCGAAAACGTGAGCCACTTGGCACTCCTGGATTGATTTTTATAGTAAATACTTTTTCTTCAACAATTTCCTCTCCATCTGACAAAAAGATGATTCTTTTAAAAGGGCAAGTTTTAATAGTTCCATANGGCACTCCTGGATTGATTTTTATAGTAAATACTTTTTCTTCAACAATTTCTTCTCCGTCTGACAAAAAGATGATTCTTTTAAAAGGGCAAGTTTTAATAGTTCCATGAAGAATATCAAAAAGACTCAAAGGAAGCTCAAATTTAATATCAGGATCTTTTGGAAATTTAGGAAAAACTTGAAAAAAGTTTTCTATTTTTAATAAAACAAAAAGTTATTTTGTGTTGTTGTTAGAGAGAAAACTTACCTGGAGAATTCATTTGGTCGACAATTTTAAATTTAACTATTAGGTTTCCTCTTTTGTTGTTATTTTGTTGATACGGAAGACCATAACCTTGTAATTTGATAACCGTTTCTGATGTGATCAACTGATTAATAACCATTACAAGCGGTTTTTCATCTCCCAATGTGGGAATCTCTAAGCTACTTCCAGGTGCCGTTTGAGCAGAAACAATTTCAGCAGTATATTCAAGATCAACACCATGGCGTTTAAAAAAGCGATGCGGTGCATCATTAGCAACAAACACAATGTCGTGCGGAGTTTTTCCAGTAACACAGTTTCCAGCTTCTGAAAAGTAGTATGTGGTACCCCCTTCAGTTCCAGGAAGCACATTTATTGATAAAGTTACTTCTTTCTCTTGCAATATAGTAACTTCATTTTCTGCAAAAGTTTTTTGAATAAAAACTTTTTGCAGAGTAGCACCAAATAAAATGCTTTCAAGGTCAAGAGGAAGATGCTGAAAAGTTATTGCTGATTTTGCTGAAAGTTTTGAAGACATTAACGATTTTGTGTTGAGAGCTGTTAAATAAATTTACTAGTTTAACTTGTAAAAATTTTTTAAAAAATTTATCAATACCTTTTTTTTCTTCTTTTAATTCACTCAATATTGAACCTGTTGAATTGAGTGACAAATTGGATGATATATCAACATTTGAGTTAATAAAATTTTGTTTTAATTTTTGTTGTTTTGTTAATGATTTACAATTGTCTAAAATATGATTGGAATTTGTTAATAAATTATTTTAAATCATAACAAAAATTAAAAAAACTTGCCGTTTCCCAAACTGACAACTTCAAACTTGACTACAATATTGCCTCTTTCTTTTGGGTTAAAAAATTTAGGCAGCCCTTTGCCAGGAATTTTAACTTGAAAGTCATTTTCAATTGATTTTTTAATTGTTAATAAATGCGTTTTTCTAAAAGTAAGCGTTGGAATTTGAAAAGTTCCACCTTCAGCTGCTTCGTTTTTTGAAAGTTTTTCCACGTATATTAAATCACATCCTGATCGAGTGAAAACACTATCAGGCTTATCAGTGACGATGAAAATAATGTCTGCAGGAATTCGTCCTGGTTTTCGGTCACCTTCACATGGATACGTGAACTTATAGCCTGTAGGCGTTCCTGAACTTATATGAATTGTGACAATTTTTTCCTCTTCTCTCTGTTCATTATTTTCATTTATAACAAAACGTTTAATTTTCATTCGTTTACTGCACCCAAGTAAAACTTCTTGCAAAGATAACGGAAATGGGTGCTCTACAGATTCGTCTTAAAAATATATATAAATTAAAAATTACGTTTTTAATTTTTCTTATTATACCTTTACGATCATCTGACCAAATTTCAAATCGCACTACTAGGTCGCCTCGCTCTGATGTTGTATTGTATATAGGTAATCCCAGTTTTGGAAACTTTATCACATTATTATTTTCATTAATGTTTTTAAATAAATGATCAAAATAATTATTATCCAACGTTGGTATTGACAATCGAAAATCAGTTTTTACATCACTTTTAATTTTTTGCACTGAATATTCCAAATCAGAGCCGTTGACTGTAAATAATGCATGTGGTTTATAAAAAACAATAAAATTCAATTTTGAAAAGTTTGAGTAGTCGTCTCTGACAAAAGGAATTGTAATCAAAGTTCCTTCAGGTGTTCCAGGCTTAATTTCAATAGTTACAGGATCATCAATTGACTCAAAATTGCCAAAGTTTTTGTTTATTTTAAGTTTTTTTATGCAGCCATAAAAAATGTCTTCTAATGACAACCAAAGTTTTTGTGGTTTTGCACAATTGTTTTTACTGCAAACGTCAGTTTGAAAAATTCTGTGATTTTGAGAAAAATTCTGTACGCGTTCATTTGCCTCCATTACACTTTACTTGGTTTTTGCACTGCTAGAAATATGAGAAATGAATCATTAAACAACATTTTGCATAAATAACACAGTTTGATAGTGTACATTTGAACATAAATAGTAATCTGTTGCTCTCAACTGATATCTCCATTGCATTTTGATAAGCTTTTATTTCACTTTTCTGAGTCATGTAAACTGTTTAGTTTATTTCGCATCCAATAATTGCTAAGTAGAAAATGTTTTCGATTAACTTTTAAGTTTAAAGAACTGTTAGTTCTTAATGTAACAACAATTATTGCAATTATATTTGTAATTTTGTTGATGAAACTACATTTTTGCGTTGTTAAGTTTTAATAAAGTTTTATTACTGTACTAAAGTATCATGAATTCAATTTATTGGTTTGCAAAAGGAAATTTTTAGAAACAAAAAATAATACACACAATATAATAAAGATGCATCAAAGTCAACAAATAAATGAAGATGAGACATATATTGTGTCTAAAACAACATCAAAAAGTAAATTGAGCAAATTTAAAATAGCTCATGAGTGGACAATTGAAAATCTTCAAAAACATTTACCTTTTTTAACAATTGATCAATCAATTGACTCTGAAATCATTCAGAATGACCGTTTTAAAATATATTTTTGTTTAAATTACTTAAAAAACAAAAACTTTAATGTAGAAATTCACTTTGAAGCACTGAAACCAAGCAAGTTTCCAATCAAATTTAAAACAATGGCCACTGTCGCTTATAATCAGTGTACAAGACAATCAAATAACTTTACTAAATCTTATTCTCTCTTAACAACATGTAATTATTTGTAAAACATTTTTAATTACAAAACTGATATTTGTTTTTAGATTGGACGCAAAGAACTCTTGACATGCAAGTTGGTCAACGTCAAATAGTGAAAGGTAAAATTTTAAATTTATCCATATTTCCGATAGATTACACTTTAAAGTTGGACTTTGATGTAAGTTAATTTTTTTATTAAACTTTTTATTACAATAAACATTTTATTTAGATTGAATACTGGGCATCTGAAACAACTAATTTTGTTAAAATTGAAAAATAAAACTGGTTTATAAAACTAAACATAAAAACAAAACAGTGTTTATGTGCATTATTGAGAATGTGAAATACTGAACATTAAAATTACTTCAAACCGTTCCCNAACTTTTTATTACAATAAACATTTTATTTAGATTGAATACTGGGCATCTGAAACAACTAATTTTGTTAAAATTGAAAAATAAAACTGGTTTATAAAACTTAACATAAAAACAAAACAGTGTTTGTGTGCATTAGTGAGAATGTAAAATGCTGAAAATTTAAATTACTTCAAACCGTTCCTTTTAGCTGCTCGTGTTTTGTCGAGAGATTCATCAACAGCTCAATGCCCAGTTCGGGCCTTGCTTTGGTGACAGTTTTCCACGAGTCTGTCAGTTTCACCTTTGCTATATGGTCGGTTATGTAATCAATGCATTGACATTTCAGCTGTTTGGCTTGATGTGTATCGGCAAGTAAAAGAAGACGCGACGCAGTGTCAATAGATAGTGTTGATGAGAGGTAGTGCTCACAGAGGTTCTTTAATGAATCTAGTTGGTACTAAGAAAAGGGCAGTTTAGCACTTGAGTCAGACAAATTGTTTATTGCCACTTACCTTATCGGCAGCGGATAAAAGTTCAGGCGCCATGGCCTCTAGATCATCAACTTTATCAGCATAAATGAATTTTAAAAACTGCTCGCAAACATCCTGACTCAGATCATCGATGTCCACAACTCCGTTGATCTTTTCTTTGCAATCATGATCAAACATTTTTTCAAAAACAGGTGAACGGGCAGAGAGAACAGCTCGGTGTACTGGGAACTCCTTTCCTCTTACCAGCAACTTGGTGTCTGCAAACTGTGAGCTTTGCAAAAGTTGACTTAAATCGGCGGTAAGAGTAGAAAATTTGCTTTGATCAATGTCATCCGGAGTGAGAATATCCAGCTAGCAATAGAAAAAAGAAGTTTTTAGGAATGTTTGATTGATAAAGTGCACAAATGCAACAACTTACTTCGCACACAATTGTCAATTTATCATTTACTAAACAGAAATTTTCTGGATCAAGAATTTCGTCTCTAGAGATAAATTTAGCAACATGGTGGCCCAACTTCTTACACCTACGCCAATGATACTCTGTAAAACACATTCAACACTGCATTACATTTTATACAACTTTAAAACACAGTTTACTTACCTTGACAGTATCTCTTTTCCCTTTTTCCATTTACAATTGCAACACGGTACTTTACTTCAATATCATCATCGTAAAAGTACAAACATACGAGCACGTCGTTGGATACCCATGTGAGACTATTTTTGGGGAACAATGCAAGATAAAAACGAGATTGCTTTCCATTAGGCCCAGAAGCGCAAATCGCCGTGCCTTTGTGCCCTTCGGTGAACTTGCTGAAGTCACTAATGACCAGTGTTGCAGTGGAAGGCGTTCGGGTGAGTTGTCGATGCGGTGGAGTAGGTATTGGTGGAGTTGATATGCGAATTGGAGGTGTCGAGGACATTGTAGAGCAAACTTGTGGAGTAGAGTCCACCTGAAATAGAATTGCGCCAAGAAAATTGCGTTTAATTTTGTTGCAGTTGCGCTGTTGCAGAAGCAGATGCGCAATTTGTTGCAGTGAGTATCTGCCAATCACAACAGCTTATGACCGTCTTCTTTAATCTTGAAACTTTGCNATTGGAGGTGTCGAGGACATTGTAGAGCGAACTTGTGGAGTAGAGTCCACTTGAAAGAGAATTGCGCCAAGAAAATTGCGTTTAATTTTGTTTGTTGCAGTTGCGCTGTTGCAGAAACAGATGCGCAATTTGTTGCAGTGAGTATCTGCCAATCACAACAGCTTATGACCGTCTTTTTTAACCTTGAAACTTTGAAGGTTTGAACTAATAGTCTGTTTAGTCAAATACCAAAAGGATTAAAAGAAGACCTACGATGCGTTCCCGAGAATAAAGTCCTCAAACTTGACCGATTGGGCATCAGGTTGCAGGTGAAAAGTTACAGTCCAAGCACGATTAATGAGCAGATCAACTTATTATTTTAATAACAGCACAAACTATTTATAGTTTATTCAAAACTTAAACACAAAATAACTAACGTTTGTTTGTATTTCAATAAAGAAATCTGCTAAAACTCTTGGATTTTTACCAAACTTCCAATCTTCAAATCACAAAAGTGAAAAGCTACTGTACCTGCAATTTAGAGCTCTGGTCGGTGGTGCCCCAAAACAGTGGTCACCAGCGCCCAAAAGTAGTGAAATGGTGACTTGATTTACCTGGGACCGCATCGTAGGTCCCGATGGAGACCGCCGAATTGGAAGTCCTCAGAAGCAGCCCTTTCCCGTGATGGTTCGCATTGCAGGCTAATAAAAGTCGGGTTTCCAGTGCCCCTCCCTATATGTACCTTGCCATGGAAAGTGTCTATTTCAGCATCGGACACGTCATAACCGGCTGAGACACGACAAGCGAGCTTCCAACAAATCAGCAGCAGCAGCGTCTGCCTTCGTGTCTTTACCTCCTCTCCTTACCACCACCACCACCGTCGCCGCATCCTCCACCTAATTCTCACCGGGAGACCAGAACAGAGCCACATCACATCACATCACAGCAGCAGCAGCAGACACCGCTATGACCATGTCCAACAAGAAGACTCTCACCCGCGAGGAGGAACTTCTGCTTCAAGACTTCAGCCGAAATGTTTCCACCAAGTCTTCGGCCCTTTTCTACAGCATTGCCTTGATCGTCTCGGTGGTGCCGCTTTGTAAGTTGTTGCGAGCTTAATTTGGGGACTGCAGTTTTTTCTGACAATTACGTACTTTTGTTCCCGCTGACTTCTAGGGATCTACTGGCGCATTTACGAGGTGGACCTCTACTCGCTGGCCATTCCATTTGTCATCGGCACGGTGGCCAATACTTGGTTGGTGGCGTTCGGCTACAAAAATGTCAAGTTTGTTCTGAAGCACAAGATTGCCCAGAAGCGAGAGGACGCCGTTGCCAAGGAGGTGCTGCAGTCCATCACCTCGCAGACCATGTCCAAGAAGGAGAAGGACGAG